CAAAAAGTTGAACAGTATACTGTACACTGTATAGTAATTATGTCAACATTGTAGCAACTGAAACAAGAGTAGGTATGTGTAATGAAATTGTATTAATTTGTTGTCATTTATTAATCGATGTTAATTAAGCCTGTATATGTGAGAACCAATATAATTGAACCGTGAAAACCAATATGTATGTATGCAAATTGTTGTTTTCCTGTATAGTTTTCACTGAGCCGATAAAGAAAATAAAACCGAAGCTCCCGTCAAAGCCTTGGCCTTTGTGTTTATTATGCATGTCTAATCTTATTAGGTAGACCAACACAGAACACTTCATTGAAAAATTCCTTGCTGCGTTACAGTATATGAGGTGATGTGAATCAACACAGTGATTATGACCGAGTTTTAATTATTGCATCTATTTGTTTACTGTAGTTCGCAGAAGAGCGTTAATAGTCAATCAATGCTGGGTGCTTTTTTAAACATTTTCTTTGCTATCAACCTTCTTTAAAGAGAATTCAGGGTAGGCGGTATGAAAATTAATCATATATTCATAGTGTTAATCTATTTCATGGAACAGGCGGGGGAAATTGTTGTAAAAGCCTCTGTATTTCGCTCCCAAATGAAGAGGGAAAAGCCACATTCAGTCAACCATGTTGTCGGCAAAGGCCAAGATGCGCACTGCTCGTGTAAATCTGGGTATCTAAAAAACCAAGCACAGACACCTAGACCTAGGCTCACGTATGTTTTGCGTTGACAACCAGCTGTCTAAGGAAATTCTAAGGAAAGTTTTTGATCGCTGATTAGTCGGTTTATCTGTCAATCAAATCTTGTCGAGATGTTAGTTGAATCATAAGAACAGGAATGTTTCTTTCAGCGCATGAAAACGCAGACTGAATTTTGGTTCAGGTTCATGTAAATATAGTGTGAAAGATCTTTTGTTTAAAATATACACACAAACTTGTTGAAAGTACTTTATATTGTAGGCGAGACTTTTTTTATTCCTTGTTTCGCATACTTATTTTATGAAAGATCATCGGAGGAGGGCAGAATAAAAATCAAAATAACATTTTGTTTCCTTATTTAGCGATAGTTTTCCAAAAAACATCGAAAGAGAAATAAAAATAAAATTTGATTGGTGGATGTAATATAATTAGGAAGAAATATACATGTCTCTGGATATTTCAAGGCAGCGGAGGGCATAATAGAAATAAAGAAAAACTGAAAATGAAATTTTATTTTTATTCAAAATCATCAACATTTGCAGTCGGCAGGTTCGCTAATCAAGGTATAAAAAAAGTCTCGCCGCACATACATTAAAAACATTGCGATTTGCAACAATTATGTTTGGTGTGGAGCTGCCTATCCATGATGGAGTTGAGGTACATTGTTGAAATTTGTAACACGTACACATAATTATAGTTATACTCCTGTTGTGCAAGTTTTAATACCTTGTAACTGGCCATATGGTCAACGATCAACCCAAAAAGAGATGATTTTTATATTGCTTTGTCTCTTGGTCTGACATTGGGGTGTACCCATACCTCCACTGTTTACTTTTAGACAGTACTTGCTTAAGGTTATACAGCTGTACCTAGAAATAATGTATTTGCCATTTAGGCATCCTTAGATTTATGCGACTTCTGGGTTCACGGGGAATGTTAAGAATTCATTTTGTTTGTGATAACCATGATTTGTATATACTGTAGCTACCTAACCATGATGAGTTGAGTACATTGAGCTGAAAATTGTCAGTATACAGTACTGTAACTCGTCGAATAGAAGCTATGCCCTTTCAAATGAGCTTCTTTTCGAGATAGGATTCACTTTGAGGCTACTTATATATAAGTAATGTTATTGATCATTGTATAATGTTGACATACCTGTATAGTTAAACAATTTCTTCAGCAATTCTTGGTGCCCACTGTTTCGGGAGGACTGCACCAGGGCCTTTTTAAAGACAGAAGGATCTTTCAGTCTCATTGGGAACCATTATGGTCATGGTTGAGATGTTCATATAATGATGCAACCTCATCATAAACCAGCAAAGCCTCACCTCGATTTGCTTTTTTATCTGGTGAAATAATAATATTATTAATAATAATAATAATAATAATAATAAAAACTTGTAAAACGCCGGTAAAACTTGTAAAACGCTCATGGCGCCCTCCACAAGAAGTCAAAAATATGAGAGACAAAAATGATGTACTCTTTAAGATTACTGTCATTGATGCAGTTTTTATACACGGTTTCTTTAATTTATTTACAATTTTTTTTTTAAATCTCACATCTTTGTCAATTGTAACTGTTGACAATCTGTACATATTGTTTTTACTCAGCCAGTTATTGGTTTTAAATGACATTTTATTTTTTTCAAATATTTGAAATTAGTCATATTACTATTATGCAAGGTCTGGAAATAAACTTAATGTAGATATGAAATACCAAAACAATTTGTTTGGACTTACTATTTTCACAGCTTTCTAGATGTGTATAAGAGACAGACTTATGAAATACCAAAACAATTTGTTTGGGCTTCATTTTCACAGCTTTCTCTTAACCCTGGTGCACAAATACAGTTACCTGTCTTGTCATCGCATATGTTACCATTAAAACAAATATTACAAATACTTGTACATCTAGGTGCACCCCAGCGGCAAAGGTGGACATTCTGAATGAAATAAATATCTCATAATGTTTTAACATATTAATATATGGCAATGCATTTAGGTTTAACAAATCTAACACTGACTATTATTAAAGAAGCATGGGCTAAGAGTCTACATGGTGCTCACACAAAATGTGTTATGATTACGTACACTGTACAAGGATGCTATTGCTTGTTCAGTGGCGGATCCAGAAATTTGAAATGGGGGGGGGGCCCCCAGGAAGGGACATTCACCGCAGAGGGTCTAGCACCTGAGACCCACCGTGGTTGGGGCTGAGGTAAGAAAATTTAAGATTTTAGCACTCTCAGACCTAAATTTAATTATAATTCTTCTTTTTTTTTTATAATTTGAAAAAATTAAGAAAGGTGGGGGGGGGGTCACTGTAAAATCAGTCAATCAAAGAATCAGATATTATTATGTTATACTTAGCTGTGCAAACCTTCAAACACAACTAGCGACAGATCCAGGAATTTGAAATAGAAGGGGCCAAGAAAGGGACTTTCACAGATGGAGGGTCTATACCCTCAGCCCAATCATAGTTGGGACTGAGGTAAGACCATATTGCATATGATTATCACATTATTCAATTATAAAAGCAAATGAAACTTATAATTATATGCATGGCACTATGCAATACCACATTCAAAACAATGTTATATATAATTCATAACCATGTTTTAATGAGAATGATTAAACTAATTATTTGATCATTTGGGATCCTCAATACTTTATTAGAACATGATTTATGTGAAACTTGACTATTTTCACTGGAATAATGCTACAACCACTTAAAAAAACAGCCGATATGCAAACATTGTACCATGTTATGTTTTTGTTATTTTTTATAAATAAACAAAGGTGAAGACGTACTTACAGAACACTTTTAAGACCTGTCAGGTCTCATTCTCAACCTGCATTTCATTACTTCCGTCTAGCAGATGAATGTGCGATGACCTTTACAACCTACTATACTATTAACATCCAGATGAATTTTTTCAACTTATTTAAAACTTCAAAAATGACCAAAAAAAATAAAAAACAGAGAGATATAAGTATAACAACAGTATTAAGTTTTAAATATTAATATTCCATTATTTAAAAAATTCAATATTTTTTTTAATGTTTTCGTATTTTATGATGAAATATCAGAAAATTTCTGAAACCTATATGTAAAGTCAAAGCACTAATCAGTGTAATTCCTCAACTTAATAAAAAAGATCTAAATACTGTAAATCCAAAATAAATCTTTTTTTCCTCTGTCTCCCTTGTAATTCACTTAAACTGTAGGCCTACATTTATATTTGCTGTGAAATTTCAATTCTTTTCTTATCTTGTTATAGTTAATTAATTATCCTATGTACATATGAATGGAATTTGTAATTTCTGTGTATTTTTAACTTTCCACATTTTTATTTCTTTTGTTTTTCATTTTTTTTTGTTTTAAATATGTAATGACATGTAATTCAGATTTACTGTGAAATGAGGAAATGAAAATTGAATTATTATGATTTACCAATAGTGTTAACTTACTTATTCAGGCCAATTTCTGAAGGTGGAAATGCCTTACTGCCACTGGATCGATGCACTTTTAGATTCTAGAGAGACAAATAAAATCAAAAACTGCAACAAATGAACATTTATAGTAAATGCAATTAGTTTAATGATGGGTTAGAAAGAGTGAAATTAAGTTTCAAATTTTCTTTTCTGAAATAAAATTTCCACCAAAAATCAAACTTTAAATATAAAGCCAAATAAAATTAATTGATCACCTCAAATTGTGGGTCATCATTAAAATATTTACTCTTTCATTTCTGATTTTAGCACTCAGACCTAAATTTTATTATAATTCTTCTTTTTTTCTCTTTTTCTTTTCTAATTAAGAAGTTGGAGGGGGGTGTGGTGAATCCACTACTGTAAAATCAATCAATCAATCGAATATTCTTATGTTATACTTAGCTGTGCAAACTTTCAAACACTATGGAACGACAAATTACAAGTGGCGCAGTGAAAAAGTCAGTCGCAGTGCAAAACTAAAGTGGTGCAGTGCAAAACTAAAGTGGCACAGTGCAAACTCAAAATGTGTGTGCCACCACTTTAGTTTTGCACTGCGTCACTTTAGTTTTGCACTGCGTCACTTTAGTTTTGCACTGTGCCACTTGACTTTTGCACTGCGATTGTAGCTTGTCCTTTTCGCGATATCACGCCAAAAGGACAAACTACAATCACAGTGCAAAAGTCAAGTGGCACAGTGCAAAACTAAAGTGGCGCAGTGCAAAACTAATGTGGTGGCACACGTATTTTAAGTTTGCACTGCGCCACTTTAGTTTTGCACTGCGCCACTTGACTTTTGCACTGTGCCACTTGACTTTTGTACTGTGCCGCTTGACTTTTGGCGATATTGTATGGAACGCCAATTTGGCATTAAAATAAAAATTAACTAATTTTTACTAGGTAGGCCTATATTATTATTATTATTATTCAATATCTTGTGACGCGCCTTGAACTATATTTAGGCAAAGATAAACTAAAACAATAATTACATACATATTCGCAAAAGTATAGTGCAGCCCAATAGAATGAATTTTTATTTCTTTTATTGAATGTTCTTCTGGAAATTAATCCCACTTTAATAGTATGTTCTATCTCCTTTTTAAATCACCATTTACACATGTAAATTAGGATCCAATTCCTCAATCATCTACATCAAAAATTGGATACTGAAATACAAATATCGACGGAACAAGTCGAAGTTCCAAATTTAGTAGCGCACGTGGGAAAAATACACAGCCGTGGGAAAATACGAAGTTCAATCCTTGTTGTACGGCAACAAGTTAGCCATGTCAAAACTAACATCTCAGACAGCGNNNNTGAACCCATTTCGAACAAGATTGTTGTAGTCAGGGCCTAGCTATTTAATTAATTTATCAAAGCCCTGGATTCTTTTGACTGCCTAGCCTACGCAAATTCAACACATTATTTAATACAGTAATACGTAGCAACATGTTTTGAAAAGCGTCTTGAGTTTAAAGAATGAATGAGGTGCATTTGAAAATTACACCAAGGAATCTAACGAATTTGAATTAGATGTCTACTGAAAAGAGTAACCAGTAGAAACTTGCTTTGTTGAGTTGCCTCTTTATTACAGGTTGATTCCAAATGGTCTTTAGGATTAAAAGCAAGAATATACACTTATAAAAACATTGGAATGCGTAAATTTCACTTCATAATTAACCAAGAAAACGTCTACTGGTGTGTCGTGTTAATCAACAGATAATCTTCATGGCAATGCGAGTATAGCTAAAGCGTCTCGTTTTCACAGCGTATGGTATGCTTGTCGTTAAACGATGTCTATTTAACTATCGTCTGGTGTTTCGAGTGAGTCCGAGATTTGGAATAGGGAGTTCATGTTTTCGAAAAGTATTTTATTAAAAGAAGAATAGGAATGAGTTTGGGACTTAAGAAAATGTTTGGTTTTGCGTGAAATTCGATTTTGTGGGCATTGAGTACGCATAGTAATTTTCTATGTTTATAATATTTTTTTTTTTTCGAAAATGTGCAAGTCGAAATCTGTATAATATATATATAACTCGAACTTTTTATGCCAGTCCCATTAGATTCGACTTAGGCGAACTCGACTGATTGAAAAAAAAAGATAAAAATATATCATTTTTATAAAATTCAACCGCGGGTAATTGTAATTAATGATAACAATTAAAGTACAGTTGTAATAACTTATAGGCCTACAGGTAAATTACGCTACATAAGAATGAACTATTATTATTATTATTATTATTATTATTATTATTATTATTATTATTATTATATTATTATTAAAGGCCACAGTAATATATGAATAATTAAAATGCCAAAACAGTATTTATTTTTCAATATATAAATATCAGAAATCGCTGTGGCACACTAAGACCACAATAAAATTAATATATTCATTTAAATATTGAAATTGTATTATGAAAAATGTTTAAAAAATGTTTAAAACCGTATAGTTTACATTCTGTCAAAATGTAAACAGGAAAAAGAGGAAGAAATCTACTTGAGTCAAAAAACGAATCTGTGTCCTTTAATTTTTTGATTTGCCAAAAAAATTATTACTGTATATATTATTGGTCTAATTAATAAATTTAAATGCTGAAAATGTCAATCTGAGCTGTAAATACAATGTGAAAATGCATGTTATTGAATCGATCTTCCTAACTAGCTACCCCGTCGGTTGCGTCGACCCTAGCATAGCCTAACTATAAGTAGTCTACCCCAACTAGCCTAGCAATGATGTAGAAACAAAACGCAACAGATTTTTTTTTTTTCAAACTTACCACTGATATCACTTGAAAGGTCACTCTTTCTTAATCGGAAATTACGCCGGAGGCTTTTTATGGTGCTTACGCTTACCTC